TCTATATTTTTCTATTATTGCATCAAGGGATATATTGAACCTATTCACACTCTTCTGGGATATTATTTTACATACTCTACAAAAGGAAAGCTATAAAGCTGTGACAACTTAAGTGTGTGTTGTAGCTAATACTAAAAAATCCACTACTCAGGAGCTCTGCTGGCCTAGTCAGTGAGGCACATCACTGCCTACTCAGTCGCAAGGTCCAAATCCACCAGCTCCTCCATGGATGAATAATGGACAATCTCCTCCCAAGTGTGATATACTGCCTCTGAAAAGCTGCTGCTTGGTCAGTTACGTCAAGTTCTGACTCAACAGTACATAAAAACAACATCCTAACTGATAGTCTACTACTTGAAAATCTCCTGACATACTCACTTTTCATCCAACTCTCAAATTCCTAGGGAACTAGAAGAGCAAGCAAAAGCAAGATCACATACTGAAGAAATGAAATCTTACATTTTCCCTCTTCCCTACACTATAAAATCATGAGACAGCCTGGAGTAATTTGACAGCAAAAAACAGATCCTTTTATTAAACAGTATTCAAGTGTAATGTTTTTCCACTTGTGGCAGCTGAAATATTTTAGGTAATGCAAGGCTATCTTAACTAATTATGGAAAGTTTCCTTTTATAATTTGAGCAGTTATGACAATACGGTTATGTCCATTTAAATTAAAGGACACCCTTACAGACAAGTAAATACTACTACTTGAACTTTTCCCATAACCCTATTAAAAAAAAAAAAAAAAGCAAGGGGAGCAGGGAGAACTGTTAAAAGTATTATGACTCCATCAAGAAAATAAAGACAGCCTCTGCCAGTAATGCAAATCCTTCGCAGCTTATCAGGGAGAAAGCAAGGACACAGGGCCCCAGGGCATCTTGGACTGAGTGAGAGCCGAAATCCATCCTTTGTCCTCATCTCCTCTAAGTGCTCTGGATAAACTGGAGAAAACAGATATGTGAACAGCTAAGCCATAGTTTCTAAAGATTCCATGAACCTTTTAAAGTGTTTGGATAAAACAATTTATGAAAAATAATTTAGTTAACATATTCCCAAACTCTGGAGTCTCTGAATGATGCAAACAGGGAACATGCTTGCCAGTTAACCAAAAGGTTGGTGCTTTGATCTATCTGGAGGTGCCCTGGAAGGCAGGCTCAGTGATCCACTTCTGAAAAATCAATATTGAAAACCTGCTGGAGCATGATTCTGTTGTGACATATGTTGGGGTAAGAACAAATGGTCACCATGAGGCAGAATCAGCTCAGGGCAACTCATTTAGGTGGTTTTGGTTGGTTGATTGTTTTATCCCCAAACATTTAACTATTTATTAACTATGATAAAAAGATAAACAAAACATACCACTGGCCTTCTGTCCAGGAAACTGTTGGACTTTCTGTTGCAAAGGCTGTCAAGCTGAAGAAAAGGCACTGACATTCATTCTGGATCACAAAGAGGAAGGTCACAGCCTGCTGTCCTTCCTCACTGCAGCACACTCTCTGTTGGAGCGCAGACCTTGTGAGAAGGCTTGCACCACTCCTTGCCTGCTGATTCGAGAACCTGAATGAACACCAGATGCTACACCAACTCTTTCAGAGCACACAGAAATGTGCAGGTGGGAGAAAAATTCCCTAAAGGTCGACTGTTGAGCAACACAACAGAGGTCAGCTGTCCGGGAATACAAATCCCAATGTTATCAATTCTACATGTGAAATCTCCTTATGTTCAATTAACTCCAAACACGGTTAATGCTTGGTTGTTTACTGTCTTCTTCTGTCATTGCCGGGATGTCTTAAATGGGATATTTAAGAAGCAATTTTTACAGATCTCAACCAAAATTAAACTAAAAACATACTAACTAGGAATAAGATACTTTTAGAACTATGATGCATACAGTCCATACTTTCCATCTGGACCCACAGACCAGGGAAATTGGAGCTCCATTTAAGCTAGAACCACACACTCTAACCATTTTACCATTAAATCCTAGGTGTAATATCTTTTCCACGTGCTTTTTACTATGACTAAAAAGAAATAAGGGAACTCTGGTGGCCTTGTGGTAAGAAGTTGCACTTCCAACCCAAAGGCAACTGGTTCAAATCTACCAGGTACTCCTCAGGAGAAAGAAAGACAATCTACAGCCTCTGATAACCTGTTGGAGTGTCAGCTATGAGTTGGTTCTGGCTCAACAGCACATAACAACAGGAGGTAATGTCTGTTAGTGCCAAGCACTGTTCTAAACATTTTATGAAAAATCACATTTAATCAAGATAATAAATCTATAACATAGAAATTATTAATATTCCCTATTAAAATAAAGGAAAATCAGCTTTGAGACATTCATTAATTTACTGAAGACTCCACAAGCAATAAGCAATGTAACTGGATAGTGTTCAATCCAGGGTTGGCAAAATCTATGTTCATAATCCTTGGAGAGGTGCCCAATGTGGTAGTCGCCACTATCCTCAAGTGGCTACTGAGCACCTGAAATGTGGCTAGTTTTTATTCTAAGTCATTTAAACTTAAATAGGCACGTGCACCCACTGTCTACCATATACTGGACAGCTTTACAATATAAGGCTAAGTGTGCGTATGATGTTATGATCTTGACTTCACTATCAAAATGCTTTTGACTACAGGAGACTGATAATAATTAGCCTAGGAGTTTGTAGAGTAGGTCTGGTGTGGGTTTGAGTCTGGCTCTATCCATAAAGAGCTCTGATTTGGGCTACTACATAGCTTTTCTACATCTCAGTCCCTCAACGGTATGAAATGGAGGATATCAGTGTTGGAGCCCTGGTGGTACAGAGCATTAAGAGTTCTAACTAAAAGGTTAGTGGTGTGAACAAATCCACTAGCTGTTCTTTGGACAAGAGATGAGGTAGTTCTTTCCTATAAAGATTTACATCCTCAGAAGCACAGGAGTTGGAATCAAGCTGGGTAGCGGGTTTGGTTTGATTTTATCCCCATCATCATAGTATTATTTAATTGTGAGAATTAAATAAGGTAAAGTATTAGTGTACTTAGTACAATAACTTGAATTTACTAAGTACTCATGAATGTACTAAAACTAGAATAACAACAGTTACATAATTATAATATTATTATTATTATTATATTATAGTAATAGTTAAATAATTTTTAATTATGAATTTTAAAAAGTCTCAATCCTCAGAAAAGTCCAACTTTTTAGTAACTCTTGCCTTATAATTGCATCAAGTTTCTAAATTGTTTTAAAATTAATTCAAATCTACAACAAAGTTCCAAGTTTAGTATAAAAAATTCCTATAGACCCTTTAACTAGAGTCACTAGTTTTTAACATCTTACCATGTTACTTGTTTTATTATTCCATTTATTATTTTATATTATTCACATATATATATTTTTATGAACAATTTTAGTCTTTCTCTCCTAATAAGTGCATTAATTGTGCTCCATTAGTACAAAGACATTCTCTTACATAAAAGAACTAGCAAATTCAAGAAGTAGGATATTGATACAAAACTTTAACCTACAGTCTAAATTCCAATTTCATTTATTGTTTCTATAATGTCCTTTATAGCAACTGACTTCCCCATCCTTTCCTAATAAGATCCAGATCAAAACCAATGTGTCTTTTGTGAATCCTTTAAACTGTAATGGTTTGTCAGCTTTTCTTTGTCTTTCATGGCTGACTGAAGAAGAGTATAGATCAGTTATTTTATAGAATAGTACTTAAGATAGTTTTTTTCCTTAATGTTTATTCATGATTCAATTCAAGTCATGTGCATTTCTGGTTAGAATATTTTGTGAGTGATACTGTATTCTTTTTCAGGGTATTTCATCTGGAGGCACACAAGTTCATCTGTCCCACAACAGTGGTGTTCATTTGGATTACTTGGTTAAGGTATTGTTGGGCAACACCATTATATGTATATTAACAATATTCCTTTTTTGTAATTAATATGCCATTTATGGAAAGATATCTTGAAACTATGGAACTAGATTTTTTTCCAAACTTCTTCCATTCCTGTTAGATTTAGCATGACTCTAAATTACTCCACCCTGATCACCTTCACAAGAGGATGGTTCTCTAACTCCATCATGCTTTCTATACTTACTGACACTCTTCTATAAAGAGGCCTCCCTTCATCCCCTTTTATTTCTCTATTTACCATTTGTATTGATTATAAATTCTTCAACTTTAATACAAATGACAGGAATCTACAGAACTGGATAAAGAATTATTAGGTGGGCAAAGTTTGTTCATCATCAAGGGGAAAACAGATCTTCTACTAGTTTGATCAAGTTAGATCTACTATGTTTGTAAACAAGACAGGTTCAAAAGATGAAGGCTCTGCAGTTAAGGACATCAGTGTGTAGCTCTAGCAACAGACAATGTGAGTTATCATTACAAAGCTGCACTAATGCTCATCATCAGACATGATATCATACTTAAAAAATCCTATCCAAACAACACATCTATTTCTCCACAACTAGCAAACTTGAATGTTCTGGCAAACTCAAAAGGACATGATTTACAAATAGTAGGTAATATTTGGATCTTTCCACAAGAGCTGGGTTCCAGCTTTTTAATAAAACACAAATGATTTCATTTTGGAGTTCGCTCTGCCATTTTCTCAACAAACAGATCCTCGAATTAGAAATTAGCCTGTGTTATATACAAATAAAATGGGTTTGTGAATATTTATTTGATGGTCAGAGACCACACAACTAGTGGCTGCTTGCAATATTTACATTGCTCCTGATGCCATATGGGGTCTTAGATCCAAAACCAAAGCTGAGGACACACAGACTAAGACTGTGTATGTTGCTTGGATGTACAAACTGCATCCACAATAAAGGATGGGTGCTTTGTTCCTGGGAGTGCTTCTCTCTGCTATCTAAATGCCTCTAAAAACATACTCCACATTTCACACTTTTTTGTTCTAATGAAATAAGCATGCTGTATCCTTGGGCTGAGATTCCATTTGGGTGGGGGGAGGTTTAAAATACTTACCAAGAAAAGTCTGGAGACCCCAAACGCAAGCCTCTCTGTCTTCAAATGCCAGATCAGGGGCTGTGGGGAGTTGAGCAGGAACACGATTGGCTTGTGGTGAATGTTGACTGAGGAAATTGGATTGAGGTGTAGGGTGACCTGGAAAGGGACATGAAGAGGAGAGATAGCTGAGCACTAATGACACAATAAATTAGCTCAGAGCAGCATATGGAATTCTTTTTTCACAGTTCAGCATTAAGATAAACAGTCTATAAACTAGTTTCAGAGTCTGTGGATAAAAATTTAAATGAATGTTAGTTTGAATTCTTTTAAACTATCAACATTTGATCATTTTTCCCCTATAAAAATGGCTACTGAATATGATTTGTACCACTCAAATCACAACTCAAACCAGCCAAAAAAAAGTAGAACAGAAACAAATAGCACAGATTTCCACTCTCCCACCCCTCAAGATTGGGGAAGGTGGAAAGAGTTAATGTGTTTGGTTGCTAATCAGAAAGCTGAGGTTTGAATTCACTCAGAGGCACTTTAGAAGACAGAATTAGTGATCTACTTCTCAAAAATTCTTCAGCTAGTGAAAGTGTTATAGGTGACTGATTTAAAAAAAAGGTGGTAGGAAGGCACAAGGGTCAGATCTATTGTTCATAGTTACTTTGAAATGAAGCTGATTCAATGACATGTAACAACAGCAACAACTATGGGTGAGGTACAGTTTTACTTGGAGAAACACGAGGTCACCATGAGTTGAAACTGACTCAACGGTAGCTATTCTCCATCTCCTAATCACACTCTGTCCCAAGTAAAATGATTAAGTTAACTTTGGATAACAAAACTTCCTGGAGACTGGATGTCTCTCTGGAGTTCTAAAGAAATAACTTTCTTTTCTTCCAGGTAAGATCCAACTTCTATAAAGTTAAGTGAGTTCTGCCAAAGAAGAGCGCCTAAAGTGAAGGAAAGGGAGCTGCCAAGAGGAGCTGCCAGTGCTTTCATCATCCCAGTGAGGAGCTTGAAGGGGTTTTCCAAAGAAATGAAGCACAAAGAACACACAGAATAAAAAGTGATTGTATACAGTCCCAGTCGGTGACTGGGGTAATCGGGATGGGTGTGTCAGAGGCGGTGCGGTTGGCACAGGATAGAGCAGGGTTTAGAGCTGTTGTGCATAGGGTCGCTATGAGTCGGAAACGACTCGATGGCACATAACAACAACAACAATACAGTCCCAGGTTTTTTGGGGGGAAAAAAAGGAAGAAAAACATAAACTTGGAAAGTCAGTTGAGATGGTGAACCAATGACAACTAATTCTAGGTTACCATAGCTTGTCATCTGCATCACAGGAAGCAACTGTGAGGAGTACTTGGGGAAAGGTAGTCTAAAAATGTCCCAAGGCACATGATCCAAGATGGTTCAATACAAAAAGGAAAATTGTATGTAAAGAAATGCTGAGTAGATACATTTTCAAATAAACATGTCTTACAAAGGCTTTCAGCACAATGAGACATGAGGAAAGACTCAAGAATCACAATTTGACAGGCTGCATCCACCAATGATCTCCATAAGGTGAAAAGGAAGGACAGAACAATATACATTAAAAACAGTACACATCAAAGTCATACTTACTATGAGAAGTTCTATGACTAGGATCACAGTCTATGCAATCAACATTAATACAGCATGAAAAGTACAACTACTCTTTGCCTTCTCTACTATTCCCAAGAGCCACAGACATGAGGATCAAGTTTCAGTGGGTACAAGATCTACTCTGGACATGACAGGTGCTACAAAGGCTCATGTTCCAGTTTAAGTAAAAATGCGAGTTGGCATTCCTTTCCAAAAAGAACTCACAGCAGATAAACTGCACTGTCCTCTACAGGGGGAAAAAAAACCCAAAAACAAAAAACCAAAAAAAAAAAACAAAACCAAAGACAAAACCCACAAAAGAGCCTACTGGAAGAAATTCAAAAGAAAAGAACCCTCCATGCTACCAAATTCCAGAAGGCCATCACTGGTGAATCTCTTGCTGATTTAATGGCTAAGAATAATAAAGAACCTGAAGTTAGAAAGGCTCAATGAGAACAGGGTATCAGGGCTATCAATAAAGAAAAAAGGCTAAACAAGCACCTAAAGAGACAGCAATGGCTGCTACTAAGACTCCCACAAAAGTAGCACCTAAACAAAAAACTGTGACTCCGAGGTGTGAAGGGAGTGGGAGACAGAGAAAGCTGGACTAAGCTTTACATATTCCAAACAGCTGCTGGTTCACACTGATCTCAGTGTATCTTTTTAATTTGTTTAAGCACTTCCCACAATACCAAAGTCAATTATTACAATCCACTCTCAGGTTGTTAACAAGATAACAAGCCTCATTTATATTTTAAAACCACATGTCATCGTATATGTTGTATATAATATATAGTAGCGTTATGTGGTAAAGGATAAATTAATGTTTTAAATTTAAAAATTATTGTTTTAATTCCTTGCTTGTCAATGCAGCAAGAGTTCTTTATTCCATTGATAAATTTCACTTCTGTTGTGAACCACCAAGTTGGAACCGACTCATAGCTGACCTTCCAGCAGATTTTCAGAGGCTTTACATTGCATGGGAGGAGATTGCCTATCTTTCTCCCATGGAGCAGCTCCACTATACTATGTAATAACTTCTTGTTTATTAACTGTCTTCATTCTGAAACAGACATAAATCACACAGAGTAGGCAAAGATCTGCATTCCTGAAATTGTGCTTCACATGGAAATATGTCAGGAACATGAAGAACATTAAATTGATTGATGTAACAGCAAATTTATAAATTTACATGTTATCTAATAGGTACAAATAAAAACCCAGCTATTAACAATACAAAATAATGCAGCTGCTAATTCACATAAAAATAAAAAGCAATTATAATGAATGATCTCTGGGTCATCAGGATTTGAGGAAGACTCATCAACAAACCTACGTTAAGTAAATGACACAACCCTGCTTGCTGAAACTGAGAAGGACCTGAAGTGCTTGCTGCAGGTCTAGGACTTTAGTCTTCAATATTGATTGAAGCTCAACATCAAGACAACAAAGATTCTCATCACTGGGCCAATTGGCAGCACCATAATAGATGGAGAAGAGACTGAGGTTGTTAACAGTTATCGCTTGCTCAGCTCCACAGTCAATGCTCTTGACACCAGCAAGGATGTCAGTCTAGAGACTAAAGTGCACCTGATCCAGGCCAAGGTTTTTGTACTTGCTTGCCTATGCATCAGAGATCTGGACAATGACTAAGAATGATAGAAAAAGAATGAATTCATTTGAGTTGTAGTGCTAAAGAAGAGTCTTGCACCTACCATAGACTGCCAAGAAAACAAATAGGTCTGTCTTGGAAAGCGTAAAAACCAAGTTTCTCCTTGGAGACTAGGATTTTGAAGCTTCATTTCACATACTTTGGGCATGTCACCAGAAGGGACCAATCCTTGGAGAAAGACATTATGCTCAGAAGGGTGGAGGGACAGTACAGGAGAGGAAGACTCCAGATGAGATGGATTGATTCAGTAACTGGGGCACTAGGGGTTGGTGTGTCAGAGTCAGTGAGAATGACTCAGGACAGAGCAGGTTTCAGAGCTGTTGTACCATAGGGTCGCTTGGGTCTCAGGCGACTCAATGGCATATAACAACAATATTTCTGTAACACAGATGGGATCTTTTCTATACTGGACACAATCAAAATATTAAATCTAAATATGAAATGAATACTGATCTCAAGTACAGCTATAGCAAAGCACCATTTGCTTTGATTGGACAGACTCTCCTTCACAGTACTTGGGAGATGCTGTGAACTTGAAGAAATGAACTAACTGGTCATCACCCAAAACAAGAGGCTGCAGAAAAAGTGGAGGCAATGACTCAACTGTGGGATTAACTCAACAGAGAACTGACGATGAAAGTACTACTTGTTCTAGAGTATTTGAAAACTTTAGAGAAAACACTCTTTCATTTAATAGCATGTGTCAGTAAAAGATTTTGTCATTATGAAACTGTTAAATATTGAACTAAACCCTACTCCACCCCTAAGACGTGCTGGAATCCTAAGTGTGACTGTGATACTGTCAGGACTAATGTTTTCTTTATTTTATTAATTTGATCATATTCGAGTAGGGTGGGTCCTGAATCTAATACTTATGAGTTATAAAGAGAGCAAATCAGGTGCAGAGGCACACACATAGGGAAAGGCAAAAGAACATGAAGGTCACTTCTAAGTCAAGGAACCAAGACACATCTGGCACTACCCACAAGGAGGAAACTAACACGGCTGAGAAGGAGGAAACTAACAATACTGAGATGCTGGTTTAGACGTTTAGCCTTCAGAGCTGTGAGAAAATAAAATTCTGTTGAAAATCCTGTTGCTTAGTGTCATCTATATTTGCAGTATTTCTGCTACAGCAGCACTAGGGAACAAAAACACTTTATACTGGGCATAATAATGCTCCCTTCATTAACTATTCTGATGATTTTATTTGAAGTCCCCCAAGTATACAAGTCTTCTTGGAGCCTGTAGATACTCAAAACTTTAAGTCAAAGTGCACACTATACAATTGAACAATATGTACCTCAAATGAATAAGCAGTTTTTTTAAAAGAGAAAACAGTATTAGAGACAGACATTAGTGCTCACATCCAAAGACTTCCAGATGGTCAGAAGTGTCAAGACCTTGAAAGGAGAAAAGGTTTCTAGGAGCTTGTAGCTCTCTGAGTTTTCCTGGAAAAGGCTTTCTCTGCAGTATGTGGCAATGTCTAGCCAAGATCAATCTCCAACTTTGGCACACAGGGCCTGGGCAAAATCCCAAAAACTATTTGGCCAAAGAGAATTCACACTATGATTGAGAAATTTTAAAAAAATTTAAAAAAATTCAATACCTTTTTTTTAAAAAAAAAAAAAGTTCATTTGGCAGGGACAATGAGGCCCCCAAGCACTTGCTCACTTAATCCCTCTGCAACCTGTCTATTCCATTATTCTTCCAGTTAAATAAACCTTGCCAAAGGGAAGATAGAGGATAATAATAAAAATGGAAACTAGCAAAAGAATGAAGGCATAAAAGCCCCCGGAAATGTGGGAAGAACACACCTGGACTATCTGCTAAAGGACTACTCACAAAA